TTGGCCCTGTCGGTCTCTCAGGTCAGCTGACCAGCTGCTCCTGGAGGTACTGAGATTCAGGAGGAAACTCAGAGGGGACGGGGCCTTCTCTATCGTGGCTCGAAAATTATGGAATAATTCGCCCTGGCATGTTAGAGAGGGCCCTTCTCTGTCCACTTTTAAATCCCGTCTCAAAACCCACTTTTATTCTTTGGCTTTTAATCTCAGTGAGACTTAGTTTTCAGTTGAAATGAAATTAGTTATTTAATTAATTATTTTTTTCTTTCTTTTATTTGCCTTTTATTTATATGTTCTGTAATTTTATTTTATGGTTCCAATGTACAGCGCTTTGTGTCAGCTGTGGTTGGTTTAAAGTGTTTTATAACTAAAGGTGATTGATGGATTGATTGAAAATGTGGCTGGGCTATGCGAAAGGAAGCCCTGCCAGGTCTCTAGCTGCAAGGAGTAGGCGAGACCCGTTCAGATGAACAGTTCATGTTCTTCACTGTTCCATTCATGTTCAAAAGAAGGTTAGAGGTTAAAGAACTGTTAATACAGACATTTGAATCTGAATACAGCAAATATAGAAGACTGAAGAAACCACAACTTATTAACTCATTTATTTTTGTGTTATAGATAATAGATTTGAGACTATGGGAATTTTTTAACAATACTTTTCTTGTGGAAAACCTTATGCAACCCAGCCTCAAGCTGACTGTGCCTTCAGCGGCCCCCAGCTAAATTGAGTTTGAGACCCCTGATATAGATGAAACCCAACAACCTCTTATATATAACGCTTCTTCTACAGAAATGTCCATGACTTAACTGTCTCACTGACAAACTTCTACCAGAAGAAAATCTTGCAGACATTAACACAGCTCTACTCACCATCCCCAGTACCAGTATGACAGAAACCATTGAGTGTGCCACTGTCGCACCTTAATACTATTAACATTTGGGTATAAGATCAAAAAAGCATGTAAAGATAACCTTCCATTCAAAAAGAAGGTTGGAAGCCAAAATCAGGGAAGCCCAGGATGATGTTTACTGGCTGCAGAAGGGTTTCATGAGAGACAGATCCTCTGTGGTTAAGAAGTAGAACAAAGTGTCCATAAGTAAGTCTCTAGAATCTGACAAACACAGGCACACAGCTCTGGCTGCTGGGCTGAGGAAACACAAGATAAAATCATTTTAAAATACTCATTCAATTTGGATAGCTTTCAAGATGAACCATAATAGTCAAGTGCTCTACAGCTACGAGCTTTGACTTGCATCAGTGTGAATGCAGAAAAGAAGAAGTGGTCACCACACCAACATCTTTCCCCTCATATGTTTGTTTTCAAACTCTGTCAGTCTCTGTCTGTGCAGCAGCTCATGTGGTTTTTGTGCAGGATGTAAAGGTAGTTCCACACCCACATAAATACACCATTAGCACCTTTAAACATGCCACCAAAAGTGGTGGATTTTCAGGTATCGTAATGCTACTTGGGGGAAATATTTAGAGTAATATTTACATCAATGAAGAGAACAGACTAGTTGAACAGGGGTATTTGTGTTCCAATGAGCAAAAATAAAAAACTAAACCAACAAAAGTAAATCTAACATAACATCCAAGTTCCTTGGCAGATAATTTAAAACTATTCAGCTGATGAAATCACATCCCTTGAATTGCATTACTATTACGACTACTCCCATTATACCTATGCACATTTGGAGGTTTTGTGTGTGGGTTGTGTTTGTACCACTATCTTACTACCCTAACACAACTTTTTGTTCCCTGCTGCTCAAAGCAAAGAAAAAACAACACATTTCAAAACAAGCATTTCTATAAAAATAACTGAATTTCACATAAAATTTAAAAGTGAAATAAAAGATTAATTTGAAAAGTATTTGGGATGCATATCCAAGCAATGATTTCAATTTGTGATTTAAAAATTGTCAAATATGTTGGTCTTTCTGCTTTAATAAGCCATTTGGACAATTACAATGCACACTCTAAATAATCATGGTTCAGTGCCAAATACTGAACTAAATGAAACTATTGACATTAATGTAATTTTCCTTAGTGAACATATACTGCACTAGTCAAGAGCCTCAATGTTCTTCATATATGCTCATGATATTATGAACTTTACAACATAGGTGGTTGTGAACATGTGATTATGTTTCCACAGTAGGATGTACAGTGTCACTGTAGACTGGCCAATCAAGATCAGTCTTGGGTCTTCAGAGTGGAGAAAGCATCAAGATTCTTTTCATTTGACACAACGATTTGAACACGATGACACCTGCAAAGTTTGTCTTTTATCTGACATGTTTGTTCCTGGGGAAAATGGGTAAGTTGTGTTTCTGTTCTTTTTAACATCTCTTCAAGTTTTCACCTCTTAAGGAAATGAATATGTTGAACTGACTCTTCAATTGCTTTTATTTTGATTTTGATTTTAGTCCAGAAGACCCATCTGCAACCACAGGCATCTGTTAATCAAGAAAAAGATTTTCTCTTAGCTGATCTTGGAGAAAATGTTAGTTTGCATTGTTTCTATGAAGGTGACGATTCAGCGTGGATCTTGTGGTATAAGCAAACTCTGGGACAGAAACCGAGGCTAATCTCTACGTTCTACGTGTACGATACAAAAATCACTTTTCATGATGAATTTCAGAACAATCCACGGTTTACACTGGATACAGAAAACAGAAGAAATAACTTGAAAATTTCAGATTTGAAAATCAATGACTCAGCTACTTACTACTGTGCATGCAGCTATAGATTTGTGTTAACTTTTGCAGAGGGTACCATTGTCAAAGTAAGGGAGGCAGGTTTGAAAAACCCAGCTTTAGTCCATCAGTCACCATCTGAGAGCATCCAGCCAGGAGGCTCTGTGACTTTGAACTGCACAGTACACACTGGGACCTGTGAGGAAGAACACAGTGTTTACTGGTTCAAAGAAACAGAAGCATCTCGTCCAGGACTGATTTACACTTATGGAGGCAAAAATGATCATTGTAGGACGAAAACTAACCCACAAGCAGACGCCTGTGTCTACAACCTGCCAATGAAGGATCTGAACATGTCTCATGCTGGGACCTACTACTGTGCTGTTGATTCATGTGGACACATAGTGTTCGGAAACGGGACCAGATTGGATCTCAGCCGTGAGTACTGAGGAGTCATTTACAGTCAATTCTAATCACTTTTTGTGAGAAGATAAGACAAGCTAAAAATCTCTTTCTGATGACTGGCTAACTGCAGGTGAGGCAGATTTTCTTGTCTTGGTGTACTACTTGAGTGGAGCTTTGGCATTCAGTACCATCCTGGTTCTCCTACTGGTTTTCTCAGTATGCAAGACAATGAAGAGAAACAACTGCCTTTGCCCAGGTATGTGGTACTGCTTGTGCCTGATAGCTTAAATTTGTTACATTTATCTTTTAGTCTTTGGATCTGAGTATTTTTTGTCTTTGTCTATTAGAGTCTCGTGCACGATTACCAACTCCTTCAACAACAAATTCAGAGGTAAATCAAATCCCAGTTACTTACTAATAAAACAATGCTAAATTTCTGTGAAGGAAATATCTCAAATGACTTTTGCATATTCACTTAACAGGCTTGTCAAGATGCAGACAGCCTCCATTATGCAGCTTTAAGTGCTAAGAAACTTAACAAGTCAAGAAGACAGAAAGACAACAGCAAGAGTGAATGTGTGTACTCCAGCATAAAGCAGTAAATATGGACATTTCAACATTTCAATGTCGAGCAGACAAAACAATTCTACATTCTGTTCAATACAATTTATGACCAGTACTAACATTCTAGCCCAATTGCAACTGGAAAATCGGGCAAATGCATGTCCTGCTTGTCTCCCATCCATATTCCAACAGGATTTATTGGCTGTTACTTGAGGAATGATTACTTTTAAATACATATACATTTCTGAACAGTATGTATTCGTTTTACTAAATATTTGATCTCAAGGTTGTGAAAAAAACTGCATGAATTAAGTTTTCGTGCCAGACTACAAACAAATTGCAAGGTTTCAGTTTTATTCTCTTTTTTTGAACCAATGTGTTTGAGTTTAGGCATTCACATTTAGTAAAAAACCAGCACTGTGACTAAATAAAGCTGTTAAGGTATGGCTGTAGATCTTTTTCATTTTATCTCTGTCAGTGCAACATCAATGATCTTGTGTTTTGAGCCAGTGTGACTACTTCAGGTACTATACAGATTAGTACCAGAGCCAATCTAGGAATTTGCTGCAATCAATTTGAAGCTATAGCAGAGCGTTGTCAAGAGATAGGTCACAGCAAATAGAAGATGAACCAGTAAAATGATTGTATACACCTTTTTCTAAAAGAAATATACTGGTGGCTACCAGTGCAATCCCTCAGCCCCCTACTAGATGTATTGTATAAATTTGAAAATACCAAGTGACATTCTTCTTGAGTCACATTCCCAACACTTAGAAAAACCTGATCTTTGACCTTGACCTGTAGGTCAAGCTCACTGAATTCTAAAATATAAATGTATGCCATCACTTTGAAAACCCTAAGTTCTTAATTTATGGTGTTCACAAGAATTTAAGAACACATTTCCCCTGACCTCACAAATATTCAAAGTCATCCAAGAATTTTAGTAGAAATGAGTTATTATGTTCATAAGATTTTCAGTAAATCTGACCTCTGATCTTGATCAAGCTCGACAGGATTCCAGAGTCGTCTCTATCTTCTGAGCCGACTGAGGTCTCTACAGTGAAAATAACAAATAACAAAATTCTCATTTTAAAGTAAAATGTCAATCATATATATGTAGTTTCTCTCTATGTTCTGGATATTTATAATTTAGCTATTTGTATTTATTATAGCTAGTTCTTATATTTTGTAAACTTTGTAATATATTGTATTATTTAATTTAGCATGTTTACATGTTCAGCATGTTACTGTTCTTATTGTCTTGGAGCAACTGTAAATACATACTTTCCATAGGGATTAATAAAGTATTCTGATTCTGAATAGCCTGTCCCACCTTGCAGCTGTAAGCGAAGTACTTGCAGCTACTGACAGGTACCAAAAAGAGAGAGAGAGTATTACTCTGATATTTGCATTTTTACTTTGGCTGACAGTTAAATGCAGAGTTGATTTTAAGGTTCTGTTAGTTGTTTTTAAATCTCTCCAATGGCTTGGCTCCTGGTATGCATGTCTATATCTATACATACATGAGTTGCTTTTAACCCTTTAAGACCTATCATAGAACCAAGTTCG